TATATATATATATATATATACATATTTTTTCACATGTGTTTTAATAGAATAAATCAAATAAATCTATGCATACACAATAAAAGAAAAATTTTTATGCAACAATGAAAAAAGCTTGAGTTCTTAAGCAAATGGAATGAAAAAACTCTGTATACTTGTACAATTATACGTCACTGTCAAGATTTCACAAATACTCGCGTATTCAGAACTTTTTATTTCAGATTATAAAATTTTGCATCAATAAATATTGATTTCGAAAGGTATTTATTCTCTCGTTAATTGTGCAAAAAGTGACAAGAGGTACAGGTGATGAGAACGTCACTGTCTCACATGTTAATGGATATCTCGGCGAGTTATTATACGTCCGTAACACTAATCGTTCGCCAGCTGGACGATTCGCTCGACACACCCTATACACGTGCTCCAAGAATCGCGCTCGCGAATTCCGGCTGTACTCCGCGGAGCCGCCGGAGTTGGTTATTTAACGAAAAACAAATCTCACCGGGCGTGCGAGGTGCACCTCGGCGGTACGTTCGCGCAGTAATTCCGTAAACTATAGGTTATCTCGAGGGTTGTCGTCCGATCGGGTGACTGTTGTTTTGCTTACCGAATCGTTTAATGAGAGGCACCGCTCGTGAAGACCGTTGAATAAAGTAAAACTAATCGCAGAAGAACAGAACAGACAGACATCAGACGAAGCGGCCATTCGATCGCTACAATGCAGCGCGATCGTTGACTGCTTTCAAGTAGCGGTCGCGCAGGTGCGCCAACTTTCGCGCCGCGAAATCCCCGAAATCGGGGATTATGAAGTCACGAATCATCACGCATAATTATTGCGTGAGAGTTCTTATAAATATTAATTATATATACATATAAATATTATTAATAAATATAATATTAATATAATTTACATTATAAAATATAATAAAAATGTTTATAATATTATATATTATTATTTATAAGTATTAATTTTATAATTCAATCTCATATGCTAGATCTGAATATTCGTCACATATATACACCATAAAAATATATAGATATGTATATGATTAAATATAACCTTTCCCTAGCTCTTATTGTGATAATAAAAGAGTCAATTGCATATCTTGAAACACAGTAAAAATTGCAAAAGTAAACAAATTTACTAGATAATGACGAATAAAATTATAAATATATTCATAAAAATCGCTTACTTTTGTAATTTTTAATTTCCATTTTTTTTTCAAAGTATACAATCGATCCAAGAATGCATGCTGCAATACATGGTCTGCGCCATACTGAAAATTAAGACACTAGCACCTCTGAACTTATGGAGCATTACTACATTCTTTTCTCCTGTACTGTCGGTAAAAGCTTTTATGAAAGAGTATATGTAGATCTCTCTTTTTATTCTAACAATTAATAAATATTTATTATGAAAATGAAATCATCTTACATCATTTGTAAAAAATATAGCTAATTGATAATTTAAAATTGCAGAAATTATTAATAATATTAATTTACGTTATATTATGACTTCATTATTTTTTGTATATAATTCAATTAGTATTATAATCAGTGATCACACGACACACACACACATGAACGCACGCACAAAGTTTGTAGAGAGTACAGAGTATTTGCAAGTCATATTAATGCTTCGCGCTCTGATTATAAAATGAAAATCCACAGTTAAATATGTAGTAAGGAAAGAATAAATAAATGTAAAGGAGGCTTTTACGTTTCTTTTATGTTTTATTGTCTCAATTTTCCTCTCTTAGAAGTTATATAAATATTATATTTTATTCCTATCCTCTCTCTCTCTTTTTATACTCGACTTAATTTTCATCAGAGCGCAAATTGAAATGCTCACGCAAATGACTTTTAATATCAACGATATTACTTCATAAAAATCAACAATAGAAGGAAAAATTTCAAATATATATTCAAATACCTCATAATATTTTTAAGAAAATTTTTATATTTTATAAAGATAAAGAATTTTATAAAAATTTTATAATTTATAAATATTTTTGAAAACTACTTTAAACGTACTTCTTCAGAATTTCAGAATTTATCGTGTTTAAAAATTTTTGAAAAAAATATGGTTTTCTCAGCATTTTTGAAAAAATGTTCCTATTTGTAACAAAAAATTTAAATTTTTTTTGAATACAAGAATTCTGAAAAATTCTGAAATTTATCCCAGATAGCAAACAGACATTATTGTTATTTTAATATCAAAATGTTGTCATAAATGTTTATTTTGATGTCAAAATTATTACGAATGACAGTATGCTATAAAAATATTTTAAAAAATTATATAAAAATTTTGAAGAAAAATTTTTGCCAGATAAATTAACTCCAAATTTGATGAATTTATTTTAGATATATGCCGCTTCAAAAAACTGCAGGAGATAATGATGGTAATAATTATTACATAGTCCCTAACAAAAGACAATTCGTTATCTTGTATTTGATTATATTCTGTATGTGACAAACATTATATAATAATTCGTTTCGTTAGCATGTCATACATATATACTCAATATCTACATAGTTGATACTTTTTGTTCGAGATATATGTCACGTGGACATCGGTACTATCTATGATACGTCATAAAGGTTATCGAGATGTCCCTCAAATGATATGTACTCTAAGAATATACCCTTAGTTATGTTATAATCTAAATCTGTATAATCTAAATATATAAGTTACATAAAATAAGAATGTATGAATTTATATTTTTAATAAAATATAATATTATAATATAATATAATATATTTCTTAAATTTATATTTTTAGTAAAATGTAATAATATAATGTAACATTGTTCAAATAAATTTTTTAAGCATATTTCCGGTACAAGATATTGAAATAATTTCCATTTCTAAAAATCTTTTCTAGAGTAAAATTATTAGAGACTCTCTCAATTAGAGGAATTACGTTTTTGAAATAAGCATCCCACATGGTTTATTCCAGTTTGTCATATATCAGATCGTATCTCGAACTTATCATAACTCAGAATGATTAATAATCTTCTGATTACTAATTATGTCACTCGTTAAAAAAAAACCTCTTACGATTCGCAGACGATAATTATACAGAAAATACGCTCGGCGTTGTTTCCGAATGCCGATTCCAGCGCAAGAGCGAAAGGTATGATTACGAGTGGCATTGTTCACGAGCTAGGACAAACTGTATTACAGTATTTGCGCGGTTTAAAACTAGTTATTTTTATTACAGCTTGTTGAGGAGATTCTTGACTTCCGAAAGACAGCTAAACCAACATCGAATTTGCAAGCTACTCTTAATGACTATCTTACACAAGCGAAATCGGATACTCGTGCTTTGCAAACTCATTAATTAATTCTTATTCCTGGATTAATCCTTCCTTCTGTCTATTCTACCTCATATAATTTTTTTTTATTTTTTCTCCTGATCTGTCTGAGACACATGTGATTACAATTGATTCGATGTGACAGTTTACGTAGTATTTACGTAAGAAACGATCTGCCAAGGGTAAGTGTAAACTATAAAAGATGCATTCAGCTGAATAAAAAAACACAGTTTCGCGTTGCACGAATTCCTAACAACGTTAAAATTATGGATAAGTCGAATTTTTGTTTATTGGCCATCCTGGCCGTCCTGGCGGTCGTTGTTACCGAGGAAATGTATTCAGACGAGTTCGATCACATCAATCCCGATGACATCTTACCGAACGACGAGCTTCGAAATCAGTATTACAATTGCTTTATGGACACTGGTCCGTGCGTGACAGAAGATCAAAAATTCTTCAAACGTATGATATCTTATCATTTTGTATAAATTTAATTTTGCAAACGATAGATACGACTTTTATACTCAGTCAGTATTTAAAAAAAATGTATTCAAAGTATTAATATTCTAATAATAATATTATTATATAATGTGGACAAACAAATATATTAATTCTTTTTATTTAATTCTTTATTTTAGTAAAAATTGCATACTGTGCCTAACAGTACTACTTAAATAAGAAAAATCTCAATTTGAATACTTGTACCTGTATATTGGGATATATTTTAACATTATTTAAAGAATATAACAAAATACTATTAAGATTAAGATGTATGATGTTCAATTTTTATTTCAAATAATAACATTTATTTTAATTTTTCCTACTAAAAAATTTGGAATAAATAATATAATTGTATTATAACAAAAGAATGTTTATAGTAGGAAATTACTATTTTTCATTTCGCAAGATTTTCAAAAAAATATATTTCAGGATGTCCGAAAATTCGTGAATAAAATATAACAATAAGAAAGTTTTTAAAAAATTTAAAAATAAAAAAGTTATTTGTAAATTTTTATTTTAAGCAACAGTTTGTGAAAAATAAGAGTGACAATAATAATAATTTACCTCAAAAACTATTGTTTCAAATAGAAATATACACATAATTCTTTTATTTTGAAAACTTTTTCGTGGTATTTTGATTCGTGATCTTCGAAACACCCTGTATGTATACTAGTAAAAATATCTGAGATTTTCTATTTTGTATAGAGCATGCCGCTGAAGCGTTTGCGACGAAATGCCGAAAATGTACAGAAGCCCAAAAGAAGAATGTGGAAAAGATAGTCGTATGGTATACCGAGAACCGCCCTGAGGAGTGGCTTGCCATGGTAGAAAAGCTTTTGCAGGACGCGAAGAAGTTGAAGATTGAGCACGGCGACTAATGTTGCCAAATAAATAAACACATTCTGCATTGTCATGTTTACTTAATTGTGAAATAACAAATAATGATCTCGCGTCCATGTAGTTTTCCAAGATATAGCAGCAATATATACGATACAAAAGCATGTAGACGAGAACGAGATTTAGCAGTATTGCATGTACAATTTTAACTGACAATAAAAGCCGTTTTGTGACGGGTTGAACGTAATGTACCTCTCAGTGGGTGCATCGGCAAAATCTGCGCTTATAAATCATGACGGTATTTATCATTGAGATATCTCTGCGGATTTGAGCTTGTGGAGGAAAAAGCGACAACAACATGACTTTTTGTCACTTCATCCTCATTACCATCGGCATCGGACACGCATGCGTCAGAAATGCATTTCATTGTAGAGCGCACGTTCATAGCAGCGCGGAGGGGTGAGACTTGGTTCAGACTCTCAGCACACCAGCCCAAATCATTTCTATTAGTCGTGAGATAATGCTCAGGGAAGAGACGTTCGTTCTCGATCACCGTCTCTCATATTATTCTAACTGAAGTGTTCCGTTCCCGAATGAGTCATGAATCGTCGGTCCCCAACGAGAAAATCGATACGGGTGGTAGAACGGGGTGGCTACGATTTGCTATAGGGTGACTAGTACGCATCGTGACGTGTACATCATATATTAAATTCGACGATAATTCTTTCCGAAATCGACGAAATAAGTCTTGTAGAAGTGTCACGGTTATCGCTTTACGATAACAATGATTTGTCAATTGATAAAATAACATTTTTTCTGATAATTTTTTTCTGTAGTGATCGGTAATTCGACGCTTCCGTCACGTGAAACATATATTTACGTTAACGTGTATGCATGGGGTGCAAGTTTACCTACGCATTCCATATACGTATGCGTGTCATGGTGTGTAAGTTTACCTACGCATTCCGTATACTTCGAGTATGATGAGCTTATCTTGAAAGAACAACGCCTATTTTTTTTACCGTAACGATTTTGACGCTGCTGCAGTGTCAGTCAGATCAAAGTTCGGCATCAGTGCGTAACGCTCTCCCATTCCGGACAATCGAAACTCTGTTGAGGTATTCCATTATTAACCGATTTAATTTTGATACACACATTGCGTGTAAAAGCAGCGTATAAGCGTGGCATACTTACTATGTGAACGAAAAAAGTATACGTGTAATATAAATCCGCGTTCTGAAGAAAAATCATTTACACGTCATGGATACTAATTTTGCATGGTAAAAAGGATAATGATAGCGTGCTATATTTGTGTTGAATCATGATGACTGGAGGAGATACTTAACACGGGGAAAATAAAAATTTGTGATAAATACGAAAGGCGAATTTACGAGTGATAAAACAGGTATTTGTGCCATAATTTGTTATAAGATATTTTGAGAAAAACTACGATTTAATGATTATTTTAAAACAAAACCTTTCTCCTATCCCTAAGGCTTGATCTGCTAATAAGGGGAGATTCAGGTATGTAACTCGCAGATTTTGGAAAATTTGATATTAAATAAGATTTAAAGTCGTAAAATGTAATAAATAACATTTAAATGCTGATGGGTTGAAATTAGAAAATTTGAAAGTTTCAAATCGCGCGCATGACAAATATCGTAGTAAAACGGCGGGTGATATTCGCAAATTGAAACCGACTATACATATTATTATTAACTTTATTGAATGCACTGTTAACAAAATACATTAGATAGAGTACAGTATTATTTGGGATAACGTATCGGTTACACTACAACAGCTGAGCAGCTAATTTGAAGCTGTACCTGTATATTAGAATAAGTAAATTATCAATATTAATTTCAAAACAATTTATAGTATTACAATTACATAAATGCGCAAATTACTGCAAGAACACTGAAGTAGAAAGAAACGTTATAATATAACATACACTACTCATAGAGAACAGTAAGAAGAAATGTACAGAACAGTTGATCTGACATTAAAATGTTGACGTAATGTATCGAGAGAACGAAATACAGAAAGCCGCGGTAGAGAGCATAAAGCAGATGGTATATCATTATAAAATTTCACTGCAGTGTAGAAGAAGACTCTCCGAAATTTAGATTTGTGATGAGTAGAACATGAAAATTAGTATTGCTAACGAGTATATATAGAATATTTTATTTTTATTGTTTATATAGAATATCTTATTTTCATTGTTACCTTTAATGTTTCTTTTTGCATTTATAATTTATGTTAGGATTGCAAATATTTCATCAAATTAATTTTTGTAAGACCTTTGTCGTAAAAAATAGAAATAAAATAAAAGAAATAGGAATAAAATGCAAAGACAAATTATTTAAAAAGATCAAAATGTACATTAAAATCTTCATAATTCAATATGTACTGTTTAATGAAAACTGTGAATTTTTATGTAATAATTAGGTTCATAATTCTTACAATCAATTTGTTGAAATATTTTTTAATTTTACTACGATCTGTATATATATGTGTGTGTGTGTGTGTATGTGTGTGTGTGCGTGCGTGCGTGCTCGTCATACATTACGCGTGTATTCGTTACGCGTGCGGCCATTTCAAATTTTCAAATTTTATAATTCCAATCCTTAGGTTCACTGGCACTTAAATATTACGTTTTATCAAGGTTGATAAAGACTAATGTTTTTTTTTAAAGAATAAAATCATAGTTTTTTAAACATGTTTTTAATGCTTCAAGTACGCTTTAAACGATATTGTAAAAAAACATTTAAAACATATTAAAAACATCGATTAAGCATGTTTTAAAGTGTCTAAAATATGCTTAAAACATGTTTTTTACCAACTCTGCGTTTTATGTACGACCATCTCTATATATCTTACAATTAATATCAAGTTTTCCCAAATCCGCGAGATACATATCTGAATCTTCCTTTGTAAATAATAGTTTTTATAAAAGTTAATTTCGTTTCAAATTAATTAACATGATTATTTTTTTTGCATTCTCACGCGTTTGCATGTATCCACTCGTATAAATTGAGAAAACCTTGATGCAATGCAATTATATATCGTACATTGTATTAAGTAAAGTGTTTCCGAACGATATGGTCAACGTATGCCAACATCATCAAATACCATTACATATACGTGACATACATAATTATCTATATTGAATGTCATCAATATTTAGCGAAGGTGTGCAAAGTTGACGTATACATTAGCCATACATTAGCCATATCGTCTAGAGGCGCCTTTATAACAATTAACACGTGATCACCTATACTCATATATATTACATAAATTATATTATGTAACGATCCACATCTATCAATCTTTTATAGTTTTGTATTGCGAAACAAGATCATTTAGATGACGAACAATTTTATCTGACGTTTATATCGTGCGAAATTACCGAGAGATTTTCGATTTTTATATATTTTATATTATACTTATATTTTGAATTCAAACCAACAAAGAATATTTTTTCAAATAAATAATATATGTATACATTTCTCTCGTTCTCTATTTGCTAATATGAGATAAATAAGAAACAATTTATAAATTGTGCAATTAAATAATTTAGATGGATGCACACAAAGAGTAAAATTTTCGGTTTATCCTGAGAAATTGGTCTAATGTCAGAATCGGTCTAACTTCAAAATCATTTCGGAAGCGATAAAATACATTTGCGGTTTTGAGAGAAATAAGATAAAATAACCGCTATATACGTATATATATGCATATACATATACTACATATTATAATTCAATGGTTACGTTCAACAGAAGTCAGCGCTTAACTTGCACTAATCGGATTATACTCGTACTTTTATGTTCGTATTCATAGCCAGGTCTTGTATTTAAGACCTTAAATTGATCTTCAGATGCTCTATTTTAATGGCTACAGAGCATCTATAGATAAACTTAAGAAAGCCTTAAATACAAGGCGTGACTATGAATACGAGCATTAGATATTGAGATAAAAATAGTTATATCTTATAGCGAAGAAAACAACAATTGCAGAATAAACATCGGCAGAATATTTATTTTATAAATGTTGGAAACTTTTTTTTACCAAGACAGGAATATATTTTTCTAGATTTAATTGTAAAAAAGTATAATCCTAAAATGCAGAGTCTATACAACAGGAGTCATAGATGATCGTAGAGTCTTAAGTTGTAGAGAATTGACCAATCATAATCGATTATCCTCTTCATATTTGACTGTAATTGCCAATTTCCTACAACTTAAGGCCCCATGACTGTCTACGACTCCTATATACAAACCCCGCATAAAACACATAAGTACGAAATTGACAGATGATAGTGCGAGTAACAAAGTTTATTTATATAATGATTTTGCTTCATTTGTGATCGATTCATTTCATATGCAGAAAAAGCAGAAAAAGCAGAAAAAGCTGCGCCTATTATAGAAAACGCACGAGAAATTTTTGATGCAAATTTCTTGCGAATATTTAAATATTATGTCGCACTATTTGTTCACTTTATTGAATTAATATAAATAATAAATATATTAGAAGTTAAACAAAATCTGTATGTACTCTATTTGATTATCTTCCTGTAAATATCTGTCGAACGCGGCCATTCTTGTTGTTTTTCTTATGCTACATTAAAAATAAATTTTCCCGTTATCATGTCTCTCTGGTTACTAAATAATTATTCAAGTTTGGTTCTGCATGTGTCCAAAATTCGGCTGATGTGATCTTCATTGTTATTGTTGGACTTCTGTTTAATAGGTATACCGCTGTACGAGCAGCTTTCCCCAGAGTGTTTTGCTAATTCTGCCATCCGCCAATAAAGCTCGCGTCTTCTCTATAATTGTCGAATTTAAACGTTCCGTCTTCCTATTTAGTTGTGGGATATAAGGAGTTGTATAATCTAACACGATATCTTTTCCTTTATACCAATCTGTCAGATCTCTACTCATATACTTTCATCCGTTGTCACTTCTTACTTTTGATACTGGAAGTTGCCATTTTTCTTCTACCGTACTTATGAGTTGTCTTTTCAGGCACTTCATATTTCCTTTCCCGAAATATATCACGGCGAAATGCGTACAGTCGTTCAAAAAGATAAGTATATTATTTTTCTTATCCCAAGTATTAGGCTCTATTGGTCCACAAATATCTGTATGAATTATTTCCAAAAATCTTGTTGCTCTTCTTCTTTCTTGTCCAAAAGATGTTTTTCTCCCGGACATATTTCGCAACTTCTGGTTACTTCCTCTATTTCTTCTATTCTCAGATGTAAATCTAGTTCAGGACCTTATAAGCTTCTGGATGTCCTAACTTCTTATGCCAGTTGTTTGCTTCTTCTAACTTATTTGCCAGCAGTGCATTTTCTGTTATAAATTCTCTTTCAAGCTTTACTAACCAGAAACCTTGTTCATTTTTATAGGCAAGAAAACTTTTATTGTCTTTACTTATTTCTGCTCTGTTACCAAGTCTAACATGCCTATTATTTTCCACAATCGCACTTACCGAAAGTAAATTTTTAGTTTTACTTAGTTCTGGAACATTTGACCCGTTTGTCAGTATGCACAATTTTTGGTTTCTACCGTACCTACGCCTTTTGTCTTCATTTTTAAATTCTTCTTTCTTTCCACTGTCTATATTTCTATTTCTTTTCATGTTATTTCTTTAAACATTTTTGTTTAAAGAAATAAAAAAAATAAGCGCAAGTTGGGAAGGGTGGGAGAGTAATACATATATTACTTTGAATAAATATATTGCGAAGAATATTACTACGTCGACTCGCCATCAGAGGTCTATAGATATTCGCAAAAATTCTCGCAAGTGCTTGGATACGCGTATATCTGTATATATAGATTCTCGATCTAATAACTTAAACAGGCGTCTAAGGTAGGCTTCCACTACAATACCTTACTGATGAGTCCAGTAGTGAAAGCTGGGACGAAACGCCATAATTACGTGTTATTCTTCGCAATATATTAGATTATAATTTAAAGATTTTAATGATATTATTGGCTCATTGCCCTTCTTTCTCTATATTATTTGTTTTAAACATATTGAGCCTTATCTCAATGTACATTTTTAAACATTTTCCTGTTTTTGCCATATGTGATGAAGATCCTGAATCAAGTACCCAAATCGAATCAGTAGTCTTCTGATCCTCTGCGTCAGCTAAGAAAGATACTTTTTCTTTATCTTCTATCAGCATTTTTAGTCTTTTTCCTGAAGTAACAGTCCTTCTTTTGATGATTTGTCTTTTTGCATATATTACATTTTGCGAGTACGTGGAAATCACTCCTGTTGAACAAAAGACTCTGACAAATCTAATTGCAAAATTAATAGGTCAGGAAAGTCGAATAAATGCTTCTCTAGAAAAGAAAGAACCGGTGGTATTTCAAGTCACATAAGGAAAGAAACAAGTTTAATAAATACGGAAAGAGTATCTATATTTTTCGAGCAGTGTAGCAAGAATTTTTTATTATTATTATGTCTTCTACAGTGGTGTTCAGAACTTTCAACTTATATGCTAAGTTTTATAAAGTACTTATACATGTGTGGCAATATCTTTTCCTTGCTGATATTTATAATTATAGAGAATTCTTGCAACAGCAGATATTTCTGTTGTTTTGTGTCTCTCTTATGGATCGAACAAATCTTCTCGTATATCTCCTTGGAGGACGTACATGACATGACATGTGAAATAGATTGTCTTTCTATTGTGATTAGAATTTTTTATGCATGAGCGTCCTTTTTTTATCCAGTCAACTTTTTGTGCTTCCGTGCTATTACATCGTAACACATTCTAACCGGACACAATGTCAAGTAGACCCAAAGACTTAAGTGTAATCATTGGGTGTATATCAATTACATACGAGCCAGTTCCTCACAAGCTAATCATAACGCTAAAAAAAAAAATAAAACAAAATTTCCTATGCAGAAGTTGCTGTGATAGGCAGTGGGCAATAGCTACAGTGTGCAAGTGAACCGCTCCCGTAATCATTACCTGAAATTTCCACACTGGAAACATATCGCTGTCTTTCAGCTTCTCAACGTCACTCACGTCATCCTTATGCGAAAATCCATCTCTTCGACAATTCTTCATTTTTTTCACTTCTTTTACTTTTACTTTTATAACAATTTTTTTGCACTTTAATAATTCCTTGAGAGTCTCCGCATAGAAGTGGCTCTGTTATTTTCGGAGCGTGTCTGGGCCCATAAACCTGTTGAATTTAATTAAGAGATGGACACAATTCCAATGGACTGAAGAAATGTATTTAATAATTCTTCAAGTTGTACAATGTAGTTACTATCTTAGTGGCTTAAATATTTTAGAACGAGAGAGCTCGGACGAACGCTATAGTATAGCATATAAAAAGAATATAACTAAGAGACAAAAAAAAGACACCTCCCATGACAACTGCGAAACACAATTAAGCACATCACAAATCAATATAATTTCAATTTTCGCATTCAGATTCATGACATTCCACAGCAACAGCGATTATAATAATCTTAATAAAATATATCTATAAACTATAAAACAACATAGGTCTGTTTTCTGTGGCTGAACTAGTGTGCACTTTTGTAACTTAAAATGAGATGATTATACATGTATAATATGTTTGATATTAGTCGTAAGTGAAAAAGAGAGTCCTTGTGCAGTCTAGTACAGAAATAAAAAACAGACCTTATTCGTAGTATTGCCTGATAAATTATCCTCCAATTTTATCTCAGCATAGCGTAGAGTTCAATGAAAAAATTCATAAAGATGAAAAAGAGATTATTGTGGTGCGGTTTCACTTTCGCCGTCGTGCTCCTCATCCTTATGATTTCGACGGAGAGCAACATAATCCAAAGGATACCGTTTCTCGATGTGATGACAGTCAACGGTATCAGATGCTACGATGAAGTTTCGACAGTAAAAAGCATCCTCGATTTCGATTCAGAAACAGGTATGAAAATTATTATTCATCTTTATATGTATTAAGATTTTGAGAAAGTAAGTTCTTGATAAAAATAACATAAATTTTTGTGTAAAATAATCTTTATAAAAAAATCATTGTTGTAAAAAGAATATTAAATTATAATTTTAAATTAAATATATCAAATTTATATGTTTTACCATGCAATCATCGAAAGTTTATTATACCTGTTTGATTTTGTACAAATTGACAACAGTATGATATTAAATATTAAATTTCCCCTTTATATATATTTAAAAAATATAAAAAAAATTATTTTATCATTTATAGTAACTAATTCCTTCAAAAGAGATAAAAAATTGAATAAAGATCTATTAATTTCTTATTATTTTTCATATTCGGAATTATTTAATAACCATCTTATTATTGTATATTTTGAGGTCTAGTAGCGCCAAGTTTTTTGTACTTTTACTTTTTGAAATAAAGTATGTTATATATGTGTCAAGAAAATATATTCCTTTCATAATTGGCGCAATTTAAAAAGATTTCATTTTATTTTGTGAGGCTAACACACTTGGCGCCTTTTTTTCCTTTTTTTTAAAAAGGTAATTTTGTTGATTTAATTTACTTAAAAGTCTTTTTAAAATCTTATTGTGTGTGATTCGACATATTATTGTATAATAATGTTTTAAGATGAGAACTTTTTCTCAAGATACAAATTTTTATTTATATTGATAACGTTAAAATGGTTTTCGTGTAATTAATTTTAATAGGTACGATATAATCTGGTTTGACGTTTAATTTACATTCTTGATGAGAGTGTGAATATGAATCATTACAAATCTGCGATTAAAAATCGTAATAAAAAAATTATTTACATCTCTTATGCTTTAGATGCCGGCAAGCCAACATCGAGTAAGAACATTTTCTTCCATGAGACTTCTTGTTTCGGCGACGAAGGCCTGACGTTAAATGCCCGACAAGCCTGTGCCATAGAATCGGCGGCAAGGATGAATCCGTCGATGACCGTGTACTTGCTATTCATCAGCAAATCGGAATTCTCGAACAGTACACGCGAGATTGTCAGGCATCTTCTCAATTATTCCAACGTTAAGATTCGTCATATCGATCCGCAGAAATACATGAAGGATACGCCCTTGGATGCGTGGTATGCCAGTGGCATCCTGAAGAAAAGCCACTGGCCGGTCAGTCATATGTCTGATATACTGCGCTATCTGACCTTGTGGAAATATGGCGGTATCTATCTCGATCTGGACGTAGTAGTCACCAGCTCACTGGAGGATCTGACAAATTTTGCCGGCGCCGAAAGCTGGGATGACGTTGCTGCCGGCATCATGGGCTTCGACATGTCGAAGCTGGGTCGACGCGTGGCCGATGCTTGCGTGCGCGATCTTAAAAAGAATTTTCGCGGCGACGTCTGGGGTAACAATGGGCCCGGAGTCATCACGAGGACGTTACAGAAACTCTGCGCGACGACGTATGTGAGTATCGAGATATTGAGAAAAGATCAGATATATTGAGAAAAGATTACAATAATAGCTTATGTAATCATGTCAAGATTCAGAACAGAATAAGGAAATTATATATCGTTATTTACAACCTTATATACATATATAAAAGAATACATGTAGGGAAGAGTGAAGGGTGATCGTCTAAAAAAATTTATTAATATTTTCATCTTAAATTAAGTTTTCCTTAAACTTTTTGCAGAATCATAAAATATAGGATCATAACTTTGAGAAAAATCATTAAAACAATCATGTTTTAAATGTAATACATTTTTATTTATCGATATAAAAAATAATTTTGATTGGTGTAGACTGCCTGTGTTTCAGAAAATAAGAAAATAGATAATTAGATTCAATTTTTTGTTATATAAAAGTTTTAAAGAGGTATTATATTCTACTAAGGCGTTATTTTTGCATTTCTTTAAAATTTTTTATGAAGAACCCATAAAAGTTATTGTTATCAGGTTTTTTTTCTATACATTTATGAATATTTAAATTTTAAACAATATATAGGAATTTTTGTATTAAAAAAATGAAAATAATCGTCAATAGACCGCTTTGAAGTAATCGATGTGAAAAAATTCCATGATAGGACCGATTCTGCTCGACTGAAACAAAAAATTCAAAATGATTTTTAATTAGTATGCCTTTGGCTATAGTAAGTATCAAAATGAAACAAAAGTATCAAAAACTAAAAAAATGACATCACTTTGAAAATTATGTTTCGATTTTTGCAAATTTTTTGTATATCTTTAAAAGTTGTAAAAATAAAAAAAACAATATTTTAACGTAATTATGATAGAGACGATAGCCACATATGTGCGAAAATGTACGCACAAGTTGAGTACACTTGATCAAGTTAATCTTGAAATATATCAGGAAAGCTAAGTCGAAAAATACAATTTCCAGTAAAACGCCTTTAAACTTTTGCCGTTTACACAAAGAAAATTTTACTTATATGTAGTCAGCCAATCCAGAACCATAGAGGGAACCCTAATCTTAATTGTTCGAACATGTGTCCATATTTTAAAAGACCTTTCCCAAAATAACGGTCACCCTAATATTTGTCGAAATATACCTGTGCAGACTATACTATTGTACGTCACGACCTTCCCTCGACGAACACGTTGTAAACCTCTTTCTTCTAGCTACTTCTAGCTCTGCAAGTAACTCTGTAAGTTTTACGAATTGGAATAAATCCTTTTGTATACATATTTTCCATAACATATACTTGTGAAAAATGCAAAAGAATTCGATATTTTTTACCCGTTACAATAATTCGAATAACCTCTTTAAAAAACAGATTACATTAGTAATTATAAATGATTATATACATATATGTATTTATAAAGTATGCCAAGAGCATTATTAAACTAGAAACACAATGAAAAACTCAGGCAATAGAAACAGGGAATAAAGCGATTTCAATCTATCAGAAACCATGTCTACTAAAATGAACGCTTTCTGATATAGATTGAAATCTCTTATTCTCTGCTCCTATTGTTTGTGCTTTTTATTGTGTTGCCAGCTTTACACTGTCATTATTTGTTATATAACATAAATTGACACTGAAAATTTTCGATATATCTTTTCTGTAGTTACATTCATGTATGCGTAATAATAACACATTACTTCAGATAAAGTGCACGAAGTAAAACATCAGATAAAAAATAATATATACTATTCTTTAAAATAATTATTACTCCTAGTAATTAAGATGATTGCTTATAAACGCCGTAACCCCGTTCTACCCTACATTATACATAACATTTTACAACACTTCATAAACGTTTTTATCTTTACAAAACGAAATCGAACAGTCGGACTTGTCAAGAATTATCTTTTGAAAGAATTAAAATTAGGAATTTTAATAATTGTAATTTTTAGAAAAAATGAGACTGAAAATTGTAACACTTGCGCTTAACGCAGAATCAGACGAACGAGTAATGATGCTTCTGTTTTCATACATTTTACACAATTTCCACATTCACACAAAAACAGGAAAATCATTTTTCTTCGAACAAATTGTTCGAAATTGTCGCTTTGATCGTAAGATTATGCGTATATCTCATTGACATCGAAACATCTTTATGAATCGCTGAAGAAGGACCTGTGAATTCCGACGTTCGATATTTTTATACTCTTACATATTTTTTATATTTTTATTTTATGTTTCTTAGAGAGTAATATTGTAAACTAGAAATTTATTAATTAAAAAATCTTATTATCGCTCGATTTAGACCGTTTTTCTTTATACTTTGCATTGCCAAAAAAGTGAAATCTAATTAAGACTGAAAATGGTTTGATAAATATCAATAAATTAGACATTTTCTTTTATTAAAAAGGTTGTGAATAGCTGCAACATAGATGATTTTAAATATTATTTATCAAACAAATTGTTTGAGAATGAGGAAACTGAATATGATCATTCGTTAAGCGCAAATATGATATGATAGCGATGATAAGTAGGTAGAATAAATTTGAATACGCTTCATTTCATGGCATTAAGAATTATAGGTGTACTTAACTCTCTCTCTCTCTTTCTCTTTTGCTTAAACAAGAGAGATGTGTTAACGTGCACATAGTAAATAACAAAGTCTATTCACTGCGAGTAAAAGACTCGTTCAATTTAATTGAATTTGTTGAATTCATCCGGCGGATATAATCCATTACTCTCTTAATATAGAATCAAAGATGTAGATTTAATCTACAATAGGTTAAGTATTATAAAAATTTCTTCTTTGTTCAGATAATTCCCGTCAATTTATACGAGAAATTAATACAAAGAGAATATACATTATTATTAAAATCGTTATAAACGAATAACATAATTAAATTTTTTCTACAACCTTTTATATAGGCATAAAATGAATTCTAAATATCAGAGTCTCTCGAAACTGACGATACTATCTAACGCAAATAGCGAGTCATAAACACAGACATTTAACAGATAACTGATAATAGTGTTATAAATAATAATTTATAGCAGTGCTGTAAACAATAATATATTCTTGACTTAAGGTGCGCAATTTTATATTTGTGTGATTTACTCTAGTTGTACGTGTGCATATTTTATACGTTAATAATAATTATTAATTGTTACTAATTTTAAATAATCGTTATTATTATTTCTTTCTTTTCTTTATCTTGCTCTTTATTATACCTTTACTAGTTACATGTTTTTTATTTTGTAATTATTCAAGTTTCTTTTAGTATCAAAGTTTTTCTTACTATAATAATAAGCAATTGTAAAATTAATGTTAGTCTTACTTTTAAAGAATATAACAATTTTATTTATAATTATATTTACTTTATAAATATAAAATTAAATTAAGAATACTTCTATATATAAACTAAAAAATATTTTTCTATTTCTCATAATTTATTTTTTAGGCACGCGATATGACAGCCAACCGTTGCCACGGCTTCACAGTATATCCGCCGTCGGTTTTCTATCCAATTCATTATAAAAAATGGAAGAAATATTTCGAGATAAAAGACAGCAACATGACTTTGAAGATATTAAACAAAGCGAAAGCGATTCACGTATGGAACAACTTAAGCAAGGCCGAAAAGGTGCGAGTGAATAGCAATGTGCCATATGCCGTTATCGCACGTAATTATTGTCCTCATGTTTTTAATAACTGCGGCAAAATATTTTGAACTTAAGCATAGTTAGGATAAAAAATGAATTGCTTCATCCCGTCATAATATTGAAAACATTCCACATGTGACATTCGTAAAATGAGAATATCTAATCAAGTCTAATGCATTTAATGAGACAAAGGCTGATTTAGAAAAGTATTCTATTCACTCTACTTTTTCTGAGCATATATAAATTTCTGTAAATATATTTTATAATATCAGTCAAATACTAATGTCATTTCAAATGTTACCACGAATTATCGCGGTTATTAAATAATAATATTAATAATAATAATGATAATAATAAATCGCTGCATGATGCAGTTGTAACTTATAATCTCATGTTTACATCGAAGATGAAATTTTAATGTACATACAAGTTAACTATTGAGACGCACTATATTGATTGCTGTAGGTAGTATGAAATAATAGATCCATTTCTTCTGTTATGAAGACAGAAAAATCTATTTTTATATTTAAAGAAGCTCGTAGATCGTATTTTTCCTGCTGGAATAAAAACGAAACAATTTTCACATTTCCGTTATACAATACCTCTTAAAATAAAATATATAACATAAAATTACTTTATACTCAATATATAAATTTTGATCATTAGAATAGTTTATCTAAATAAATTTTTATAATGTTACGTATATGCTTATAACGAACATATATGTATATTTAGGTATATATTTCCGTATATATATATTTACATAATTCAGTTTCACACATAATTAAAATTGATATTTGTTTTATATCAATTATATTACAGATTAGTCTAGTCTACTCAGTGTAATAGTTTTTAAAACAAAATCCGTTTCGTTATCAGAGCATAATGAGTTTAAGTATGCGTAACATTTATATATATTATTATCAAATTAAGAAAAATTGTAAGAAAACTTTTTGCCAGGGATATCTATTGTAATAAAAGAAAGAACTTGATGCACATCAAAACAATAATTATATACACAAATCTGCCAGTACAAACTGTCGAAGATAACCAGTTATTGCTATAACATTATTATATATGTATACAATCAAAAAATTCAGTACACATAGCAATGATAAACTCAATTTTTTAAGAATTTGAGGATCTTAAAAATATTTTATAAATCTATATAAGATTAATTTAAATTCTTAAAAAAAGGATAATTCATCATTAAGCTGAATCTTTTGATCGTATTATATTTGTAGATATAATAAATATTAATATTATGATTATTAACGGCAATTTACTGCGTATATAAACAGGAAGTTCAAGTATACCCAACTATCGCAATTTTGATAAAGTTTATTTTCTTGCAAATTTGCAAGCGATGATGTATCGTAAGATATCTCATTCTAGCTTTTTATTAATAAAATTTCAATATAAATATTACGACAGTTAATACCATGGCTGTGCAACTTTTAGTTTATGACCAACAGTAATGACACGTCATACTACGCATGTATCAAATAATCTATAGGTATTTTTATTCAAACACGGATAAATCTGTAATATATATATTATACATATCTTGCATAAATATATACATATCCGCCTTTTTTTCATTTATCTATCACACGCACTGTAAAAAATAAAATGTTAATTTTAACCCAAAGAGTTAAAGAGTTGAGTGGATTTTCTGAGACATGCAAAAATGTTAATTGAGTTAAAATTAACATTTTATTATTTACAGTGCATCATTTAATTTTGGTAACAATCATATATATTTGTCATACATTTTTTTCTTCATTTAATAAATGTCTAAAACAATAAATTTCTATTCAATAATAATATAAAATAGAACTAAACTATTTTAATTTATTGACTTGCAATTATGATAAGGGGAAAAAACGAGAATACCACTATGAAGCAATATTTTGTAGATTTTCAATTTTATAATAATGTATTTACTGTAACATTGAGAATGATCCGATCGATGTCGAAACGTTTGTTATTTATGTAATTATTTTTATTTTTATGTCTTTAAATTAAACGTCCTTTATTACATAACTGGCTCTTAACCCTTAAATTGTTCTATTTTATTTTATTCTTATAGAGCCTCACTATTATTATTTTTATTTCAATAATAATATTTTTGATGTAAAAACGTAAGGATATTAGTGTATAAACTCGTCAATAAATTTGTTACAAATCTGTTGATTACAACTATAGATTATGTATAATACGTCAAGCAAGTTCAAGTATGTTATAGAAACCAAGAGAAACTTAAAATTGAAAAATGTAATATTTAATTTTTTGTACTGTTTTATGTACATTGTAAAGGCTATAAAATCACATGCAATAGTGTAAAACAATAAATAAACAAATGTTGATAACAATGTATTGATATTTCTATCAATATGCCTTATTTTCAAAAGTGCATGTTCGCAATCGCAAACATTTACACGCGTGTGTATATATATATACATATATTTTTTTAAGGAATTCTATAAACTCCATAAAGAGGTATTTCTGAACACAAAGATTGTAAGTTGTACGAAATTTTATAAATTTTGTATTTTATATATATGACAAGAAAACAATTTGTAATGTCTGAAATGCGACATTTAATTCTCTACATACAAAGTTTTATAACATAAATCCTTTAAAAAAATAAAAAATGTATTTTATGAATGCGATCAAGAGCTGTAAAATTGTCAAGATAGATGAAAATAAACAAATGAATATATTGTACAATTATTAATAAAATACACGTAGAAAATTTGCTCTTTGTATTTCATATCATGATTTTAATCACATTTTCTGTCATTTTTTAATTCTTTGTAAACTTTACACAGTATAATTGTATTAAATTGTAAAGTAACTATAATATGCAAGTAAAACAAATTGACGAATATTTAAAATATTAAAAAAAATCTATTTTATAAAATTATCTTATCATGTGCAAGCAATTTGCCAATTGGCGTACGCACATCTCGTTCACTTGATTTCTGGACAACGATTTGCTTTTGCGAAGATTATTAATACCAATGCTGCATCTATATATCGCGCAATAAACTATAGTTAAGGCTGCGTGTAGTAGACGTGAAGGCCAACGTTTGGTTACGCGATGAAAGCAAAGTTTGTGCAAAAGTTTATTTTCCTCTGTGAAGCTTTATCGAATATAAAATTTTATAGCCATATTTCTTGTTAAGTAAATATGCAACATACTTTTTCTGTATTTACATAATTTATAATATATTTCCTCAAATAGAAATAATCGTATCCATTGATTTTTATGGAAATTATTTTACATACGTCGTTACTTGAAAGATTAATTATTTAACGTGATTCATCGTAATAGGTATATTGGATAATTCTTCACCGCAGAAATAGTTGAACACTTGTGCGACTTTTTTTCAAATATATTCTAGTTTTATGCGCGAGTAATGATTCATCATAGATGTCTAATTTATTTCCCATATTAGAGAAAATAACTTTTAAATCTAATTATTTAATATTATTAAGTAATATTAATTTAAAAAAAAAATTAGTGCTAAAATTCGCAAGTCAATAAAAATTGAAATAAAATCATACCTGAGTCCGTTTCCACATCGTTGGAGAGCGGTAGACGTATCTGCTGGATATTATGAAGACATCAGTAATAATCGAGCAGTTGAAAGTTATTTGTCGTACACTCGTTGTAGATTATGTAACAATTGTATCATAGTACAGTTACTGTAATTGTTTCAATATTCCATGTGTTTTGATAAAAAGACCTTCTTCGACAAAAAATCGACTTCCAACGTGAATAAAATAAAAATATCAGATAGAATTATATGAATTGCATAAACTTCCACAGGTTGGTTGCGAACGAGCACTGGGCAAAAGTCGTCTACAGTTATGAGGAAACAACGCGCATTTTTAATATTCTGTTGTCTGCTCGGATTAATAACTATTGTGTGCATTTTTTGGGAAGACTTATCGGTGGTACTGGTTACTGTCAGCTCAGCCAATCATGTTTCCTGCTATTGGTACGGATCCAGCAATATCATGGAACTCGGAGAAGGAGAGTGGGGTCAGTAAAATTATTACAGGTTTTATTTTTTGTATTTTAAGTGTAGAATGGAAATTTAATTTTATTAAAATAATATAAAGAAAAAAACTTTAAATTATCGATGCGAGATATATATATATATATA